TGTCCCTCCCCTACTCAACGAACTGCGTGTGGGGACCGTCCCCCGCCCTCCGCCCTCGGCGGGGGCCACATCGTTGACCGCAGGTGGCTTTTTGTAGCTTACGGAAATAAAGGCACTGGGGGGGTACAGTAGATGGGGACTGTACTGCAGTCACTGGCCAGAGCAGATCTAAGTGTGCGTCTGTGATAGTCCCTCCACGTAACCTCCAAGCTCCACTCATGTGCCCCTCAGGAGTCCCACAAGCCGTACACAGATCTTGTGTGCCTGGTGTCCCTCGCTCCGTTTTGGGTGTTTGTCCCTGGACACCTGAATTCATCAAGCAGTGTGTCCAACCTGTAAGAGGCTCCTTCTCCTGGCCCTGACCTCTTGCTGTCGCCACGGCCTGATTCAATTTGATAGTTTACGTCATGAGTCTCATTGTTACAGTGTAAAAGTTTAAATTGGTTTGTATAAACTCCTCTGTAGCCTCAGGGACATGGACTGCAAGAAAGAAGAGAAACAGCAGGACTGAGAATTGGTGGTTGAGGGCCATCAGCGTAACGTGTAGGACCTTCTCTTTGCAAAATGATTTCTAAGAATACAGTCTTCAAAACGCCCCTCCTCCTGGTGTTTTTTGAGTCAGCCCTCAGGACACAGGCTTATTAACCCAGTGCTGGATGTAATAACCATGCTGATAAGCAGCCAAATTAACATAGGTAAGAAAGGATGGGACTAAGCAGACACTGTCCAAACATGAATCCAGACCAGCCGATTGAAGTTTCTTCCCTAGGCTAAGTGTAGGAAGGCCTGTCCCCTCTTTGTGGGGGTCTATGTATTCAGATGTCAACATCAAACCTTCATCTTTCCTAGCCCAGATCCAGCTCAGTGGTTTTGGATTCCAGGAGGAGGTGCTGTGACTGCTCGTTAATAGGAAGGAGCCACATTTACATTACGTGTGTATCTACAGTGTGAAGGCTGAGTGATTAGCCTCAAAAGCCAGCAACTGAACTTGTCGTAAAGGCCTTCAGTGTGAAACTGAATTGGTCCTGTAGCTGTCCGTAGGTTTGGATGGAGAAATAGTTACCAGAATAGAGACCAAAGAGAAAAAGCATGTTCTGAGGAGGAGTGTGAAGGTTTCTTGAGGACTGATAAATTCTAGAGATTGGAAGTCCTGCGGAATCTGCAAGAGCTGATAAACTCTGGGCACAAAGTGTCTCCTCAATCTGTGCAAGGCCACAAGTGACTGCTGATATCAACTATGGGTTGTGTGACTGTAGGGCAGGGGTTCCTATGTGCAGGCAAAGACTACAGGATTATGTGTACATCCGTTGAAATAAATGGCTTTGAGAGGACTTTCTGAACACTTACTTGGAATCTGCTAGTGTGTCATCTACAGAGCATACAGCTGGGGTTGTCCTCCAACTGGGTAACTGGGTGATTGTATGAGTGAACTATGACGGAATAAGTGATGTTGTGTGTATTATCTGCTATTAGTAGTAACAGCTTCCTAGAATGAAAACTCTGAGTGCTTCTGGCTGTCACATCCTAAACTCCCATTGCACAGCCAAAAAATTTTTGAGCAAATGGGGGGAATTAATCCTTTCTTTCCATCTTCTCATGGAGTCCCTCTGTCTTCCTTTTGATTTCTGCATAGGGTCTGCTTTCTTCCTTTTCATCTACAGTCTTTCATAGCTGCAGTAGTTATAGATCCAAAACCGGAGGCTGGTCTGAAGGCTCCCCCAAAAGTGTGAACCTTAGGTAAGGTAAAAGCAAAAATTGCCGATACTCTTATACATCTATATTTGCCTCCAGTGGCCTCCCTCAGTCTCAGCTATCTGTACATGGGTAATCCACTCATTATTCCTCACACAGTCTTCTGTCTTCCATCTCTGGTTCCAGATCAGATTTTCATGCTTCTTTCCCGCCAGACTGAATAGAGACAACAGCATGCTGTTCCAACACCATTTCTGGTTGTTTCTCACAGCTCCCCGCTAGTCTCCTACACAGCCGGTAGAGCTGTAGTAGTTCACTCTGTAGCAAAGGTTATTTCGGGTGCTTTCTCTGAGGCAAAGAGTAGGAGTGGTAGTCAGCATAAATGTTTAATAGGCCCTGAGAGCTAAGACTTTAAGATGAAGCTCCTTTTGAAGCTACATTTACAGCCTCGCTCTCCCAGGCTTTGTATAATGAAAGCACCCGGGGCCACTGCGGTGTGGTTTTGGCATGCGCTGTATTTGCCCCCAAGCACCTTGGATGGTTGTAAGCTTCAGAACCCCTTGACTCTCACTTCAAACACAGCCTTTGCCTCACCTTCTCTACCTTCTTAATTTCCTGCAAATCCAGAGCTCTGTGCAAGAGCATCTGGCTCTGATCTTTGATACCCTCCCTCAAATGCAGTCCCTCCCTCATTTTTTTTTCTCTGCCAAATCAAGCACAAACACCCACAAATTTACTTTCATCATGTTCCATATGCCTGGAGTGGAAAATCACTTGGCTGTAAGTCTAGTGTCCTTGCTTTACATATTCAACATAGGTTAGAAGAAGGGTGCTTGGGTTGTTTCTCTAAGCTGGTTATAAGACTGAGCTAAAGAAAACATGCTTTCTAGATCTTGCATTTCTCTCAGCTGTGATCTGGCTTTTATAATGGCTGCCGTCTGCTTGTGCAGGGGTACCAGTGGGGGCTTTTCTCCTTTAATTCATCCTTTTGTGCTCAATGGAAGTCCTCAGTTTTCTGAACTCATAGAATCATAGAATGGTTTAGGTTGGAAGGGACCTTAAAGATCATCTAGTTCCAACCCCCCTGCCATGGGCAGGAACACCTTCCACTAGACCAAATTTCTCAAAGAATGGTGAATTTTTCATATGAAGAACGGCCATCCTACCTGCACTGAAGTTCTCCAGAAGTATGGACAACTAGAGTAGGTTTATGTGCAGCTGGAAAAGGTGGTGCTAGTAAAAGGGAAAATATCCTGACACTGTAAATCAAGCTTCCAGTAGTTGTGAGGTAGCTGATGTGTGGTTCTTCGTATAGCTTTCACGCATGATTGTCAGTGGTGCTAGGCTGCTGCAAAAGGCATAGGTAGTCTCAAAGCTCAGAGGAGGGAGGAAGGAAGCTGTATGAGCTGCTGAGGTTCGAAACCTGTGATTGACATTACCAGGGCTTCTGCAGCTGAGCCCAGTCTTTCCCATAAGAAGCCGCGGGGCTTCTAGAAAGTCAAGGTTGTTTCCTGTGGGTGAGCTCCTTGTGGAGCTTCTTTTCTCTTTGGCTCTGAGCTGTGTCCTGTAACATGCAGCCCTGTGGAGGTGTTGGACTGTGGCTGGCAGGATTTAGGAAAGCTGTCCGCATCTTCAGTACCTGGCTTGGGGATGTTTGGTATTGAATATGCAATTATTTTATGCAAAGGAGGCTTTGAAACTGTTACAGCAACAGGAGCACTGCATGAGAAGTGTAGTACCAGAACATGGTATGACCCATTAAGGTCATGAACTAAGACTCAGACTAAGACTCTGCAAGGCCTGAAGAACTGCTGCGTTGGACTGGGCAAAACAAGTGCAGAAGATCCCAGAGTTTAGTCTTGATGAAACCCTATCTAAGTCTACCAATGAAGGAAGTCAGTAACTCAACCCTCAGCCCAGCCTGAGGGTTTGTGAAGGCAATGGGAACTATGCAGGATCCAAGAAAAAGTGGGCAAGGCATCTGTAGCTCAAGCCCAAGGTCAAAGTTTAAGTACTTCTGCATGCTGTGGGAGCAACACAAACCAACTACATGTGGTGCCTGAGAGAAGATGCAAGAACTGCAGTGGTTTCATCCCTTGAGGAATTTGTATGTGCCAGGGGATGCCTGTGCTCATGACAGTGATGACAGTATTATAAAGAATTTTTCACAATGGCAAGAGAGTGTAGCAGCCTCAAAAGGGAAGAGGGGCTCCTGTTTATTGTGAACTGTATGTATAAGTGCACATATAAACATGCGGCCAGGAATATATTTAAATCTTTTTATTTGTACCTCTAAAAAAGGGAACAGGCAAATCCACCTTTCTGGGAGGAGTTAAGAAAATTTAGGACTTGTGCACAGAAGGATGAACTGAAGAATTAAAAGTCATCAACACCCCCGCTGAAACAAAAAACTGGAAAAGGCACAGACTTGTAATGGTGGAGCATGGGAGGATCTGGTAGATTCGGGATGTAAAAAGCCCTTTGTCTCATCAGAAGGATGTATTCAATATTTGTACCCGTTTGCCTTTGCATTTGAGTCACAGGGCACCAACACAAGCTAAAATTGAGTATACTCCTATAGAAAAGGCCTTGGCATTAGGCCATGGCTGTAAAGACTTTTTAAAATCTGTTTGAGAGGCCATGTTAACTAAAACTGATCATAAATCACTTTTTGCCATTGCCAGTGGGGATCTGGCAAACACCTTCCTGCAAACAGAACGTCTCTTTCTTTAGCTACAGTTGTATAACTTGCAAATTGAATGCGAACCTGAGAAAGATTTAGTAGTTGCAGGCATACTCTCTAGTGTCTTTGACAAAAATGCTGTGGAACAAAGTCCCAGGCTAGATTATGTATATGTCAATTGGGGAAAACAAAACAGAAAAACCCAGCCCTGTCGGTTCTCAAATGAAATGCAGACTTTTATTGCTAGTGGTTTGCTGAGGACGAGACACTGCAGGATGTAATTAAGGTTCTACTAGAAAATGATTTGCACAGCTTATTCTGTCCCTGTTTCAGTTTAAAACGATTTAGATACCACTTCTCTGAGGCATGAAGAAAACTGATCCTTGAAGTGTTGCAGGAAAATAAAGATACAGAAAGCCATTTAGAGCCTGAAGGCAGCGCGAGACATCTCTGCCTCCCTCAATAGTCAGAAATACAAGTGATGTTAAATGGAGGAGCGCGTGCTAGTGGAAAACACTCACCCTCTAGAAGGGAGTTAACGAAGTAGGCTTGCATCAGCTTGATGTAGGAGTCTTGAGCAGCCATTTTCATATCACTGGGTAGTCTTTACCGGAAGACACTACAGCATTAGAGGGGAGCAGGTCGCTTGTATCTGCTAACAGTGGATTTCATGTACATAACAATAACGTCTCTCAATGAACTACAGTTTAGTACAACCTTATGTGTATCGCAGCTAATCCCCAGTGCCTAAGCCTACCACGCCAGTGGAAAACGATGTCGAAATACTGCCAGAAAGGGGGCAGTGTCAATCTGTTGCACTTCTGGCACTGCTTATTTGCAGTGGATTGTCACATCTGTGCTAGCAGAAACCGATATCATATACGGGTGGGTTGGTTGGTTGAAATAAGTAAACAGAAAAAGTAGAACAAAAACATGGTATGATTTTGTAGTCTGGGGTTGGCAGTGTTTCACAAGTGATATAGATGCATAGTAACAGCAAGAAACAACAATTACAGATGGGTTGTGCGCTGTGGAGAATTCATGATCATGGGAAGTGGTTGTTGTAGGCAGTGCATGCTGTGGAGAAACAGATTCGCGTTTCCCAAATTCCAGAAGGCAGCAGGAGAGCGTAAATTGCTGCCTTTCACGATGGTGGTGTCAGGTTAGAGTGGCTGTAGCCCAGAAAGCTGAGCAGCTAGAAGTAGTGGGCTCTGTGCTAACTAACGATGGTATATGGGTTTTCCAGAGGACACAGGTGACAACATGGGACACCCGGGACAACGGGACATTTATTAGGGAGCAGACAGCTTGTATGTACTTGCCATTGTCCGTTAGCTGGGCTTGGCTCCCCAAGGAAGCTCTGGGGACCTACGCCTCTCAGAAGCTCTCAGAGGAGGTGCCGTTGCACACAGGCCCAAGCTGAACAGCACCGATCAGATTGAGCTCAGACAGTGATTAATGCAAACTCTTTGGGCTTCCTGGTTAGGCCTAATTCCTGAACAATGTGGAATATGGGAGCTCTTACGCACTAATTCAGCTGGCAACAAATGGTGTGGTCGGGTACAAAGTGCTGAGTGTTGAGGGGGCTCTAGTCCCTCCTAAGGTCCCAGGACTTGTCACTACCAGTGTCATTGCTTCAAATACTTTGTTTCCTGAAGACTGTAATCGCTGGAGAATTCCTAGATGTTTGTGACCCCTTAGACATTAATTCGTTCAAGTTGTTAAATCATTGAAGCATTGAACTGTAATTGTGAGCAGCTTTGTTCCAACTACTTCTTTTTGCAGAGCTGCACCAAAATTGTGCTTTTCTGTATCTTAACATTGCTTGAATGTAATAGAATTTCCTTCTGCTAATAAACTGAGGCATTAAGTTTCTAATTTAGGGACAGGATAAAATGAGTTGTGCTGTGATTTCTAATCATGGGAGAACTCTTCTAATGTGCACACATTCAGTGTTTGTCTTATAAAAATGGTTTCTTAACAATGCCCATTGCAGCTAATTTGTAACAACATAGTGTAAACATTGATTTCAAAAGTTTTTTTAATAGATCCCCAAGCTACTTAATTATCACTTACTGACCCTTGTTTTCTAATGGTGATTAGTTTACTTTCCTCAAACTTTATAAGAGCTGGGTCTCAAGTGGCAGTAAGATGGACAACTTCTTATTCCGTATCTAATAGGATAGGAAGGTCTCCAAAGCATTACTAGTTCAGGTCTTCCCAGGAGTAGGGTTTTCCCTTCACGGTGATATGCTTCTTAGCTGGACATACAGAATGTTCTTTCTGGTTCAGCTAAAGCTTGTATTAAAAACAGGGAGAAGCAAATTCAAATCAGAACTTCTCCAGGGTTTAAAAAATCCTTTCTCTCACTAAGCTTCTTGCTTGTGGTCTTTTCAGCTTCTTTCAGGTCTGGCACACCTTTTGGTCTTGAACCAGCTGGGTTCTTCAGTACTCGTGTCTATGTGCGTTGAGGGTAGAGAGAACAACCTACTTTTTGAGAACAATTTGCCATGAGGAAAGTCTTTAGGCTAACTTAATCCCTATTGCTGTGCCATTGACTTGAACAGTTATCAGAGCTGGAGTTCTCTTTTAAAGATTGACTCTTCCACTGCAACTTTGCATCCCACTACACTATTTAAATGAATATTACATTGGCTGTAACGTCGGAGCATCACATCTTACTTTGATGTTCCTATAGAGCAGATGGTTAGAGAGCAGTTCAGGGACTTGGCCATCTTGAATGAGCTATCACCAACAGGAAAGGGGATGGTTGTAGAAAATGTAGGTCAGTCTCTATCTGCATTTGGAAAAATAAAAGGGGAGACACATAGAGGGAGATTGGGAAAGGATAAGGAAATCATAGAAGGGTCATCAGAGACACCAGAGATTTCAAAAGCTTTCAAGGCCATTGTAGACCATAAGCTACATTCCTTATTGTCTTCTTTTTTTTTCTTCTGTGGACTAATCCCCAATCTGTAGCGGGCCCTAAGCCAGCAACTCAAGCACATGACCTCAGAGTACCCCCTGCACTGCCTGTGCTACAAAAATAATAGTTGCATTTTACCTGTCAGGTAAACCCTACAGTTTATAAAGGGTAAATAATTACCAGCTATTGAAGATCTGAGGAGCAAGAGATGCATGCATCCAGAAGAGACTTGAAACAGTTGGCACAGAACTCAACAGATGGCTTGTACTCCTCTACAGCAACCTGGGACATCTTCTTGTAACAGGACTGGAGAAAATATCCTTGGGCTAGGAATCCAGGCCCTTCGAACATGTGCTGCAAGCAGCTGTGTTGTATAGAGTATCCACAAGGCTAAAAGCACTTGGCTTACTCGGACCTTAAAGCAAGGTAAATCCTGAGCCTGATGGCATTGTTGGTTACTGCAATATATTGAGAAGACTAGAAGAGAAGTAGGAAGTTTGGGGAAAAATGCTAATTAAAGCAAAGGCATAAAAGAGAAAAGGTAGAAACTGATCTTGACTCTCTTTAGGTAGAAAATCTGTGAAAGGCTTTTACTGATCAGAGAGCAGAGCTTCTGGAAGAGACTTCCTAAAGAAGTAGTTATTATTGGTTGTATTGTTACTTCCCATTGTCATAGGGCTAGATCTATCTTAAAAGTGATACTGAGGCAGTCTGTCAGTGATGATAAGGCATGGCTCAGAGGCACCCACCAGTCTGAAGTAAGCACTGAAACTTTTCTTCTTGTCAAATACTGTATCACTGAAAACTCAAAAAATAGGACTGAAAGATGCATTGGGATGCCTTCTAGTCCATCCCTCTATCTGATAGCATGGCTAGGTGTATCTGTCATTCTTCACCAACATTTGCCCTTAAAGACATGCAGTGATGGAGCCTGCTCAGACTAATAGGAATTTTTGGCTCATTTTGGGCTTGCTTCTATGGTAAGTCCAAATCCTGTCTTCCAATGCTGGTATTGTAACTCCCGTGTAGCTAGTCCTACCCCTGTCTACTACATTTGAATAGCTGATTTTTCCAAAGTAACTGTAGAATTTTGCATGTCTTTTTTGAATATCATCAATTTTTTTCCCAGACCTTCTCAGATAATCAAAGCTGTTTTGAATACTAAGTCTGTTTTCCAGCATATTTGCAGCCCCTCCCAGCAAGGTGCCATCTAAAAGTTTAATAAGGTCAGTCTCTGTTCCTTCATTCTTGTCATTAATGAAAATATTGAATAATACAAGTTCTGGGAGTGTTCTCTACAAAAATCTAGCTTGATGCATCTCTCCAGTTTGATGGATAAGTAGCAGTAACTTCACTGGGTATGAAATTTCCCCCTCCCCCAACTGACAGTCAAGAACAATTTGCTTTCACAGATTGTGAAATGTTCCAAGCGTAAAATCTGTTATGAAGAAAAGTCTCCGAAGGCTGGGGACACGTAGAATACGCCTAACAGCAGAATTTACACATAGGTTGTAGAAGATCCATGCTTTAGCTGTAAAATCCATAAACATTTAAAGGGAGACGATATGCTCAAGGAAATTCTTTAAGTATTTATGGCACCCTGCCAGACAGCTACCAGGCCAAGAAACCTCCTGGCCTTAAAGCTAGAGTGTTACAGAAATAGTCTCAGCAGATTGTTGAAAAAACCCCATGAATTTAAGACTTTTGGAACAGGTATGACCTCTATGGAAAGCCTGGCAATTCCTTAAAGGTTTTATTTCTTTGAAAAAGTTCTCATGGTTTGCTACATTTGACTTTTGAGTCATACAGTGATCTCACAGTGATGGTACATTGATCTGCATGTAGCTAAGTACTTCTCAGACATACTTCTTAAGGGTGCTGAGACATTCAAATGGCCAAGAGGAGTGCTTGAATTTTTCAAGGTAATGATGCTTTGTACCTTCAAGATTCAAGACGATCTCTAACTTTTTGGTATCAGGAAGAGGTCTCTGCAGAAAGCAGATGATTATTCCAAATGGTTGTGTTGCCATTCAAAGGGTTCTCAAGAGGCTGGAGAAAATGGGCCAAAGGGAGTCTCATGAAGTTCAACAAAGGGAAATGCCAAGGTTTTTCCCCGGGCAGGAATAACCCCATGCCACCAGTACAGGGGCTGAAAGGCTGGAAGAAACTTTGCGAAGAAGGACATGTGGGTCCTGGTGGACACCAAATTGAACATGAGCGAGCAACGTGCCCTTGTGGCAAAGAAGGCCAACAGCTCCTCGGCTGCATTAGGAGGAGCATCACCAGCAGGTCAAGAGAGGTGATCCTTCCCCTCTGCTCAGTGCTGGTGAGACACATCTGGAGCAGTATCCAGTTCTGGGAACCCCAGTATAAGACAGACATGGGCTACTGGAACAAGTCCAGCAAAGGGCTAGAAAAATGATTAAGGACTTGGAGTGTTTCTTATATGGGAAAAGGCTGAGAGGGCTGGGATTGTCCAGCCTGGAGAAGGGAAGGCTCATATCAATGTGTATAAATGCTGTATAGGGAGATGACCAGTAAAGAAGACCGAGCCAGACTCTTCTCCACGGTATATAGTGAAAGGACAAGAGGCAACAGGCACAAGTTGAAACACAAGAAGTTCTGTCTGAACATAAGGAAACACTTTTTTTCCCTTTTT